ACTGATTTACTCACAATCACTAACTGAGTCCCCAGATTGAACAGGACCAGATAATGCTACCATAATTCATGGAACTATCCCCAGGAAGATGCAGTGCCTTCAGGAGAGAAAATGTGGAGGAAGAAACAAATGTCGAACAATAAATATCCGGGAAATCACATCTCAAAAGATTCTAAAATCAGAAGATGCTCAAGTAACTGTCCTGGTTGTTAATTAATATCCTCTGTATTTAGTCCTTCTTCTCCAACTTTTTCTTGGCAGGGTTTGGATACTCAGGATTTTCGATGACCCCCTCTCCAAACTTCAACTCCAGGAAGCGCCTGTGATTGTTGGGGGCAAGAGCAGTTATTCCAGCAAACTGCATGGGGACCAGTGGTTTCAGGAAGTGCTCAGGGAAATTCACATCCTGTTTGTGGTCCATCCACGTGTTTTTGGTCATGATTCCTTCTCTGGCATAGAAAGGCCACAAGTCAACATGCAAGTGGTTGCTTTCGCTGTATTGCACACGGTAGAAGTCACCTTCCACTGCCTTTTCCCACACGTAGCCGTTCTCATCAACAACTGAGCCAGAGTCCAGGCTCCTTAGAAATTCACAATTTTCAACATCATCCAGGTAAATCCCAAGGTCCACGTCATAATCCCATGGAATGATGTCCTGGTGACGGACTGCTCCCAGAAGAGTTCCGCCCTCCAGCCAGTAGCGGACACCTGAGGACTCCAAGATGTTTATGACGTACTTGGTGGTCTCACGCAAGGCTTTGAGGCAGCAAGGTGGGGTCCACCTGTTCTCATACAGGTACTCAGGCGTGTCGTCATGCACCGTCCTGAAACAGCGAGGGGTGTCTTTGTTGCAGCCGTACCACTGCTCCTTTCCATTGGGCTGCACCACATGCTTCACACCGAAGTCTTTGAAGAGTTGGGACAGCCTTGCCTTTGTATTGATGTCTGCTTTCCAACGGTTATGGGCTGACATGAACAAAGAGCGGTGGTATGATGAGAACACCACATTCTCTGCCATCTTCACCTTCCAGCCACGCAGTGAAGACTGAACAAAGAGGGATGTCATGAGCGGCCTTACCATGGGCTGAGAGAAGTTGAACAAATCCTCAGTTCGAAGAAGAACCACAGCATCTCCGTCAATGGCATCGCAAACCTGAGCAGGAGAAAGCTGATAGACGGCGGTCCATTCCTTAAGACTAACACGCAAGTTTAGACAGTGGAATGTTTCCCCATTCTGAATAGGAGCTGCCACCATCTGAACCTTTCCTTTGTTGGCCTCGAACTGCTGAAGAAGATGGTCAAGCTGTTGGGTTGAGTCCAACTGCACCCCGTCAGGCACCAGAAGGGTGTATTCAGTGTTGATGTAGAACTCGGGCCTGGTGACATAATATGGCTGATCTGGAGATGCCTTCAATAGCACTACCTGTATGTTCTGCTTATTGGGCAGGTCTAGAGGTGGGTATGGTAGTTTGTCAGCCACCACCACAATGGGCTGGTCTGGCTTTTGCTTCAGGAAAGACTGTGCTACACCTACCACCCAATTCTCAAAGTCTTCAAACTCTCGTATAAGTACAGTGATCCCAGTGACTCTTGAAACTGCTAGTTTCCTGGAGGCAGCCTTCCCTGGGACTTTGTGTTTCAGCATTTGCTGCTGAGTTCTGGAGACGTAGTAAAGAATAACTAGATTAATCATTATTGCCCCAGTCAGCAGCATCTGGCAAAAACTAACCCGCATTGTGCTTTAAATAATTCAGTCGTGTTGATAATTAATTTGTTCACATTGCAGCTTTTCTTGAATGATCTCTCACTGTCTTAAAACAGCAAAAATGACCAATCACATCAAGATCCTGATTCTTAGACAACTAATATTTGCAATTAATTCACAGTCTTCTTCGGATCTAAAAACAAAAAAAGAAATATTATTGACAGCAGAGAGAAAAGTTCTCATTAATTGATGATCACCTACAGAATGGAATCTCCCCAGTCTGGTATTGCTAATGGTACAGGTCAGTGAATACTTTGGATTTGTTGAATATTAACAAAAATTAAGAAATAGGAACTGGAGTAAATCTTCTCGAATCTTTCATCATTCAACAGGATCATGACTGAATAAGACAGCATGCATTCAATTAAAATATCCCAAGCATTTGACATGAGGCTCATAAACAAAGTCTGATATGGAGATACATTAGGAAATATTAGAGCAAGTGACCAAAAGTTTAGTCAAAGAGTTGGTGGAAGGAGCATCCTGCAGGAAGAAGGGAGGTAGAGAGGCAGAGAAGTTTCTGAGCTTATGGCCCAGCCAGCTGAATGCATCATCACCAAATGCTGTGGTTCTTAAATCCAGGGATGTTCAAGGGTCTAATATAAGGGATGCCCAGATATCTCGTAGGGTTGCAGATTTGAGGAGATTCCAGAAGAGCAAAACCACAGAGGAGCTTGAAAACAAAAATGATCATTTTAAAATGAAGCTTTTCTTAACCAGTAGGTAAGTAAATGATGAGTGAATGTGACTTGCTTTCGATTAGGATATTTCAAAGGAAATGAAGAAGTAGAGAGGATTCACTAAAACAATACAAGGTACTAGCCAGACCACACTGGAATACTGAACAGTTCTGAACCCCTTATCTAAGGAAAGAAATACTGGCATTGGAGATAGTCCAGGGAAGGTTCACTAGTCTAATACCAGGTATGGAGGGACAGGTTGATTAGGTTGGGACTGTACTCATTGGAATATAGAAAAATGAGAGGCCACATGATTGCAACTTAGAAGATTTTTGGAGTTTAGATGGGATTAATCGATAACAGTCAGTGTGGTTTTGTTAAGGGGAGGTCATGTCTGACCAGCTTATAAAGTCATAGAGTCATACAGCATGGAAATAGACCCTCCGGTCCAACTCCTCCATGCCGACCAGGTAAACTAAACTGAACTGGATCCATTTGCCAGCATTTGGCCCATTTCCCTCTAAAACGTTTCTATTCATGTACCTGTCCAAGTGTCTTTTAAATGTTGTAATTGTACCAGCCTCCACCACTTCCTCTGGCAGCTCGTTCCATACACACACCACTCTCTGCGTGAAAAAGTTGCCCCTCAGGTCCCTTTTAAATCTTTCCCCTCTCACCTTAAACCTATGGCCTCTAAAGTCAGTCACAGAGTCATAAAACATGGAAACAGACCTGTCGGTCCAACTCGTCCGCGCCGAACAAACATCCCAAACTGAACAAGTCCCATTTGCCAGCATTTGGCCCATATCCCTCTAAACCCTTCCTATTCATATACCCATCCAAATACCTTTTAAATGTTGTCATTGTACCAGCTTCCACCATTTCCGCTGGCAGATCATTCCATATACCCACCATCCTCTGTGTGTAAAAGTCACCCCTCAGTCCTTTTTAAATCTTGCCCCTCTCAACTTAAAACTTATGTCTTCTAGATTTGGAATCCCCCACCCTAGGAAAAAGACCTTGGCTATTTACCCTATCCATGCCCTCATGATTTTATAATCTCTACAAGGTCACCCCTCAGCCTCTGATGCTCCAGGGGTAAAATGCACAAGCCTCTTTAGCCTCTCCCTGTTACTCAAACCCTCCACTCCCAGCAAATCCTTGTAAATCTTTTTTGCACCCTCTGAAGTTTAAAAACATGCTTCCTAGAGAATTGTACACAGTATTCTTCTTGAAAATATTCCATGTTTTGGCCTCAGCTGCTTTTTGTGGCAAAAAATTCCACAGGCTCACCACTCTCTGGGTGAAGAAATATCTTATCTCAGACCTAACTGATCCAATCCCATATCTTTAGGCTGTGACCCCAGTACTGGACTCGCCAATCATCAGTAACATCATTCCTGCATTTAGTCAGTCTAATCCTAATAGAATTTTATATATTTCTATAAGATTCAACCTCCCTCCCATTCTTCTAAACTTCAATGAATATAGCTGTAACTGATCCATTCTCTCTTCATACATCAGTTCTGCTATCCAAAGAATCAGTCTGATAAACCTTTGTTGCACTCCCTCTATAGTCAGATCATCCTTCCTTCAATAAGGATGCAAATACTCCAGGTGAGATCTCACCAAGGCCCTGCATAATTTCAGCCCTGCTCCTGTAGTCAAATCCTCTCACTATGAAGAAGACCATCCTACCATTTGCTTTCTGCACCACATGCTGCATCTGCATGCTTACTTACTTTCAGCAAGCGCTGTACAAAGATAGCCAGGTCTCACTGCACCTTCCGCTTCCCAATCCGTTGTGAATTAAGATAATAATCTGCCTTCCTGTTTCTGCTACCAAAGTGGATTACCTCACAACTTGTCAAAAGACATGATACAATAAATGTTTTGTTTTCCCTACTTGGAGTTCGCAAATAATCCTGATTAATCATCCTATTGGTCCTGAAAACAGGAACTCTCAAACTACTCATGAGTCACTTCTTGAGCACCAGTTCTTAAAGTGTTACATTGCATCTTACGTCAACTTCGACTTGGAATCCTAATGATCAATGTTTTGCTTTTATCAATGAACATGAAACCCTCTCAGGCAAATTGACTGGACAGCCTATGCTCTCTGTGACTATAGTTCAGATCCCCTTATCTAAGGAAAGATATACTGGCATTGCAGACAGTCTGGAGAAGTTTCACTAGATTGATTCCGAATTTAGAGGGAATTTCCTACAAGATGAGGTAGAGTAGGTTGGGCTTGTACTCATTGGAATTTAGATGGAGAGGAGACCTCATACAATACTCACAGGGGGCTTGACAGGTAGCTGTGGCTCTAGTCTTGGACTCCCCTACCCTTGGAAAAAGATCTTGGCTATTCACCTTATCTATGCCCCTCATGATTTTATGAACCTCTATTAAGGTCAGACTCCAATGCTCCAAGAGGTCCCAGCCTAGGAGACAGAAAGGACTGCAGATGCTGGAAGCTACAGTCAAAGCTTTTCCAGCTCCACATTTTTTGACTCGAGGTCCCAGCCTATCCAGCCTCTCCTTAACTCAAATCCTCCAGTCCCAGCAACATCCTTGTAATTTTTTCTGTACCCTTTCCAGTTTAACAACATCCTTCCCAGAACAGGGCAAGCAGAATTGTAAGCAGTATTCCAAATGTGGCGTCACCGATGTCTTGTACAGCTGCAATATGATGTCCCAACTCCAAGACTCAATGCTCTGGCCAATGAAGACAAAGGTGCCAAATTCCTTCTTCACCACCCTGTTTACCTATGATGCCACTTTCAAAAAACAATGAACCTGCACCCCGCAGTCCATTTGTTCAACAACATTCCCCAGGGCCCTCCCATTAACTATGTAAGTCCTGCCCTGGTTTGCATTACTAAAGTGCAACACCTCATATTTATGTAAATAAAACTCCACCTGCCATTTCTTGACCCATTGGCCTATCTTATCAAGATATCTTTGAATTGTTAGATAACCTTCTTCACAGCTACAATGCCACCAATTTTGGTGTCATCTGCAAACTTACTAACCATACCTCCTACATTCTCAACCAAATTTTTGATATAAATGACAAACAATAGACCCAGAATCGATCCTTCTGGCAACACTGCTGGTCACAGACCTCCAGTCCAAATAACAACCCTCCATCACCACCTTCTACCATCAAGCCAATTTTGTATCCAATTGGCTATCTGTTCCTGGATCCCATGTGATCTAACATTACAAGCCAGTCCACCATGCGGGGCCTTGTCAAAGGCCTTGCTAAAGTCCATGCAAATGCTCTGCCTTCATCTACCTTCTTGGTAACCTCTTCAAAATATTCAATCAAATTTGTGAGACACGATTGCTGTTTTTCTCTAATCAATCCTTGCTTTTCCAAATGCATGTAAATGCTATCTCTCAGAGACCCTCCAACAACTTAACCACCACTGACATCAGGCTCACCACTCTATAGTTCCCCAGCTTTTCCTTGCAGCCTTCCTTAAACAATGGCAGAACATTAGCCACCTTCTAGTCTTTCGGCACCTCAACCATGGCTGTCAATGATACAAATATCTTTGCAAGGGGACGCAATCTCTTCTCCAGCTTCCCATAATATTTTAGGATACACCTGATCAGATCACAGGGATTTATCTACCTTTATATGTTTTAAGACCACAAGTAACTCCTCCTCTGTAATGTGGACTCTTTTCAAGACATTACTATTTGCTTCCCCAATTTCTCTCGCTTCCATGTCATTCTCAACAGTAAATACTGAGGCAAAATATTCGTTTAGCATCCTATCCATCTCCTATGGTTCCACACATAGACAGCCTCATTGATCTATAAGGGGCCCTATTTTCTCCCTAGTTATTATTTTGCCCTTAATGTACTTGAAGAATCTCTCAGGAATTTCCTTAATCTTATTTGCCAAAGCCACCTCATGTTCCCTTTTGCCCTCCTGATTTCCCCTTTAAGTGTATTCCTACTCCCCACATACTTTTCCAAGGTTTCATTTGATCCCAATTGTCTATACCTGTCATATGCCTCCTTTTTCTTCACCAAAGCATCAATATCTCCAGTCATCTAGTGTTCCCTACACCTACCAGCCTTGCCCTTCAAACTAACAGGAACATACTGTTGTTGTACTCTCATCTCATTTTTGAAAGCCTCCCACTTGCCAGACATGCCTTTACCTACTAACAGCCTCCCCAAATCAACTTTTGAAAGTTTCTGTATATTATCATCAAAATTGGCCGTACTCCAATTTAGAACTTTAACTTTCAGATTAGACCTATCCTTTTCCATAACTTTTTTAAAACTAATAGAGTCATGATCACGGGTCCCAAAGTGCTCCCCCACTAACACCTCAGTAAACTGCTCTGCTTTATTTCCCAAGAGAAGGTTGAGTTTTGCTTCTTCTCTAGTAGGTACATCCACCTATTGAATAAGAAAATTTTCTTGAACACACTTAACAAATCCCTCCTATCCAAGCCCTTTACACTACGGCAGTCCCAGTCTATGTTTGGAAAGTTAAAACCCCCGACCATTACAATCCTATTATTCCTACAGATATCTGAGATCTCCCTTGATATTTGCTGCTCAATTTCCTGCTGATTATTGGGGGGCCTATAGAACAAGCCATCAAGGTGATCATCCCCTTCCTACTTCTCAGTTCCACCAATATAACTTCATGGGATAATCCCTCGGGATTACTCTCTCTAGTATACCCATAATGTTATTCCTAATGAATAGGTGATCAAGTGTGTGGATGATGGCAATGACTTGATCTCGTCTACTTGGACTTCAGCAAGGATTTTGATCAGGTCTCACATGGAAAACTGATAGCGAAGGTAAGACCCATGGGATTTAAGAAACTTTGGCTAATTGGATCCAGAATTGGCCAAGTGACAGGAAAGAGAAGGTGACATCGAGGGGTGTTTTTGTAACTCTGTCCAGTGGGTTCCACATGGATCAGTGTTGATACCTTTGCTGTTCTGGTATATATAAACGATTTAGACCTGAATGTTGGAGGGTTGATCAGTAAGTTCACAGATGATTGGTAGGGTGATAAATAATGAGAAAGAGGTTATGGAAGGATATAGATTAGTGGGCTGATCAGTGGCAAATGGAATTAAATCCAAACAAGTGTGAGGTAATGCATTTGGGCAGGACAAACAAGGCAAGGGGATACATGATAGACAGCAGGACACTGGAAAGCACCGAGGATAAGAGAGATGTGGGCGTGCATGTCTACCAGTCCCTTAAAGTAGCAGGACAGGTGGATAAATTGGTTAAGTAGGCATGTGGGATACTTGTTTTTTTTTTATTAGCTGAGACATAGAGTTTAAGAGCAGGGAGGTTACACTGGAACAGTATAAAATGTTGAAGCCACAGCTACAGTATTATGGACAGTTCTGGAATCCAAATTATAAGAGGGATGTGATTGCACTGGAAAGGATGCAGAGGAGTTTTATCAGGACGTTGCCTGGGCTACAGACTTTTAGTTATGAGGAGAGGTTGGATAGGTTGGCATTGTTTTCCTTGTAATGGGAAAGACTGAGGGGATCATGATTGCAATGTATAAAATAGAAGGGCATAGAAGGGTAGACAGGAAGGAACTTTTTCTCTTGATACACAGATCAATGACCTGCAGACAGATTTAGAGGGGATGGAAGGAAAATATTTTTCACCCAAAGGTTGATAGCAATCTGGAACTCACTGCCTGTAAAGGTGGCAGAGGCAGAAACCCTCATAAAACCGCGGAAAGCTGCAACAGAAAGGGACTTGGGGGCACTTGTGCATGAAATACAAAAAGCCAACATACAGCAACAGCAGATAATCAGGAAGACTAATGGAATGTTGGCCACTATTTCAAGGGAGTTGGAGTGTATGTGTAAGGAAGTCTTACTGCAACTGTACAAGGTGCAGGTGATGCCACATCTGGAGTACTGTGAGCAGTTTTAGTCCCATTACTTAAGGAAAGATATAATTTCATTGGAGGCAGTTTAGAGAGGGTTCACTAGGATGATCCCCAGTATGGAGGGATTGTCTTATGAAGGTTGAACAAGTTGGGACTCTACTCACTGGAATTTATAAGAATTAGAGGTGATCCCATTGAAACACATAGGATTCTTAAGGGGCTTAACAGGGTAAATGCTGAGAGATGTTACTCCCTGTGGGAGAGTTAAAGGGTCAGAGAGCATAGTCTCAGAAAAGGGCAACAGTATAAGACTGAGATGAGGAGAAGTTTCTTCTCTCAGAGGGCTGATAGTCTTTGCCACATAGAACTACTGGGGCAGAGTCCTTGTGTATATTTAGCTGCTGAGGTAGATAGATGTTTTCATTAGTAGGCGAATCCAGGATTACAGGGAAAGGGCAGGTAATTGGATGTGAGGAATGTCAGAATGCAAAAGCAGGCTCTATGACACTTCTCTCACATTACAACATGTCTGTAACAGCAGCAAATTTTCAAACTTCTGCTTATTTTCAAAAATGAGGAACACACACAAATGCTTCTATATTTCAGAAACTGATCAATTGAGTTGTGCTTGGAAATAGTGAGTGAGAAAACAAAGGTTGGCAGAACTCACAATCTGGGAGAACATGAGTTCACCTCAGCACATATGGGGAATGGTCAAACCGCTGACACTTCCTAGCTCAATGTGGAACAGCAACACTTGCCCTGAAGGTCTCATTGCAGAAGTAAAAGATATCCATTCAACTGTAACCCAGCTTTCAGCATCTTCACTGCTGAAAACCAAAAACAGTGAACTTCATACCGTCAGCTGAGCCTGGGTAGTCAGCCTTCTTCTCATGACTGCGGGCTCCACATGGCGTGAAGGCGCAATACATCAACCGACCTCTCCCTTTGTTCCTGGCATTTTGACAAGCTTGAATGGGGCAGCTGCAGGATCCTGCCTCAATCAACCAGGGAGAGACCTCAACCCAGATTTTTAATCATAGAGGGAATCAAGGGTTGTAGGGATAAGGTAGGAAAGTGGAGCTGAGGATTATCAGATCAGCCACGATCTCGTTGAATGGTGCAGTAGACTTGAGGGGCCAAATGGCATGCTTAAGCTCTTGCATCTTATGATCTTACTACTAAGCAACAAGACACTTCAGCGTCAGCCAAAGCACCCTCTCCCCAAAGAAAGTGAGAACTGATACACTTAGGGCAACTTATAGTCCCTGGAAATTGTACTAAATATTATTCCAAAATGTTACTATTGTCTGGCCTCACTCCAGTGTGACAGGGTTAACACTATTGCATCCAAGTCAAGGAATTTGGAGTCATCTAAAAAGAAAGTACTATATTTACAAATTCCAATTTAACTTGTACTTTAACTTGCACTTCTACTTAAATTTGTGGTCAAAGGGGTCAGTACTAAAGATAACACATTTCTAATTTAAATAATACCTTGTTGTCATAATTGTTAGCTGCTAAAGAATAGATAGAGTCCACACCAGCATATTCTCTTGTACACTTGTTCCTCATTGACAGGAGCTGTGTCTGCAGGTGCAAGTTGAAGTGTTCCATGCAGGAGCAAAGTTGCCCACTTTTCAGTGATGATCCGGTGCCTCCAGGAATTGCAGATTTATCCTCCAGACACTGTTGCAAACACACACTGGAGAGAAAACATTATAGTATTTTAAATTTTTCTTTGAACACCCCTGTTAATTAGTTATAGAGTATCAGCGATGGAAGAAAACTATCTGACTGTCAAGGATGGTACCATAGGTTAGTGGAGCAGATCGAAGCCTGAGTATTGATGGAAAAATCCAAGACCAGGGGTCATTAATACAATATAGTTTCTAATAAATAAGGAGAAATTTCTTCACGCAAAGGAAGGTTTTAATGGAACTCAATACCATGGAAGGGTTGTGGCAAATAACTTAGATGCTTTCAATATGTAATTAGATGAGTACATTTGATCTTGTTGGCCAATTGGAAAGCCAAAAGACTCTGCATTATTTAATTGGATGATTTCTGACTACAGAGTATATACAACACAGAAACAGGCCATTTGGCCCAACTGGACGTTTATATTCCAAGTAAGTGTCTTCCATTTCGTCAACCCCATCTCAGCCTTTCAACATATCTTTCAGCTTTCTTTTCTCTCATGTGCACATCTAATTACATAGTGAAAGCATCTAAGTTATTTGCCACAACCCTTCCATGGTATTGGGTTCCATTAAAACCTTCCTTTGCCTGAAGAAATTTTTCCTTACTTACCTATTAGATGCTTTCAATATGTAATTAGACGTGGACATGAGAGAAGAGAAAGCTGAAAGATATGTTGAAAGGCTGAGATGGGGTAGACGGAATGGAGGACACTTGCTTGGAATCTAAAAGTCCAGTTGGACCAAATAGCCTGTTTCTGTGTTCTATATACTCTGTAGTCAGGAATCATCCAATTAAGTAATGCAGTCTTTTGGCTTCCCGATTGGCCATGGATGGACAGGGTGCCACAAGGATGAATACCCTTTTGTGTCAAATCTTTCTATCACTGTCAGATAACCAATGGTAGGAGCATAGGGTTGTATTAATGGACACTCGCTCCTTTGAGATGTCCAGGAATACATTCAACTAGAGCTGACGAACGTATTCAAGGCCATTTCATAATCTTAGATGTACTTTACTGATCTACATAATTGATTTTTCTTCACAGTGATTTCCTCATCTTGGCTGTGCTTTTATGATGGACAGACGCTCTACAAAAAAAACAATTGGACTTAACCTACTGACGGCCATATTCATTCTCGATCTAACATGTTACACAATATAAGAATGAGCTTTTCACATGCCCATATTTCAATGGCTTGTGGATTGGGACCTTTTTTTTGCATCAACCAGTTACAAAATTGTTCACTTTTACTGCTAATTAAAATTCTGATTCAGTGGGGAGCACTCTTGCTTCTAAGTCAAAACATTTTGAGTTCAAGTCCCACACCAGAGGCCTGAGGTACTCTTAGACTGATACTCCCAATGCACTCTTGAGAGAGGGCTGCAGAGTTGGAGCTTTTGTATGATTTTAATGCAAGAGCTTGGCACTGGTTGACAAAGAGTAAGGAAGTACTCTCTACTGTCTCAATCAATATTCACAAGGGAATGGCAGCATAGTAGTTATGTTACTTATTAACTCAGGGGCCTGGACTAATTACTACACTAATGGACTAAGACCTTCCCGAAATATGTAACTTGATAGGTTGAATGCTGGGAGGATGTTCCCAGTTTGGGAAAAATCAGAACCAGGGGATGTAGTTTGAGAGAAAGGGAACTTCCTTTTAAGACAAAGGCTGAGGTGAAATATTTTTCGCTCAGACTGTTGTTAGTCTGCAGAATTCTCTGCCCCAGAAAGTAAAGGAGGCTGTGTCTTTGAATTCATTCTGGGCAGAGTTAGATAGATTTTTGATAGACAAGGCATCACACAAATGTAAGTCAGCTGCCTTCTGATTTCGCAAGCACACTATTAAATTGTATTCAAGAAGGAAGTTCATGACCTTTTCAAGGGCAATGAGGGATGGGCAACAAATGCTGGCATTGTTAACTATGCCATCACATAAATGAATAAAAAAAATGTTGAGATGATCCCAAGATTCGTGATATTGTAAACATCAATGAAATCAACATCTTCTGTTTTCTTACATTTTTACTGAATAAGGAGTTATATTTCAGGTGAACATTTATTGGCAATATTTAATAAGTATCAATATTACGCATATGGTTGTTATAATAAAAGGAACATCATAGGAGTTTGAGGCAGGGGAAACAGAATGGAGCTAGGTTGTATGGAGAAAAGCATAAATGCTATCTTGATTGACTTTTCTGATCTGTTTAAGCTGAAATATTATATATGTATGGTGACGACACACTGGTAAAGCAGTTTTGTTAACACCAAAGCAGGGTGGGCTTGCATTATTAAGGTAATCTTCAGTAAACTGCTATCACTATGATAAACATAACTTTTGGGACACTTATGGTTGATTGTGGGTAATAGGGTGTTACATAAGATTGGCAACTCTTCCGGGATGTATTTCTGGAGGTTTGGTCATGTGACATGTGATTGCATGGTGCCTGATCACAAGATGTGTGCTGACAGGTTGTAAATGCTACTGTTTTTATTTCACACAGGTCAGGTCTCTTGTAGTTTACTAATGCTGCTGCTGATCCTCTGCTGACAGCCAGAAGGCTTTTCCTATGTGAACAGAAAAAAGTGCAAAGCTCTACCTTTCTCCAAGGCTGCTCACAGCAATGCGAGGAAACCAATTCCCAATTCTGTGTGATTCCCAGGCAATTGGAAAGATTTGGCTCACTTTGGCAAAGAGTGATATCAGTACCCTGGGCACAGTGAAGAAATGATGATTCTACAAAAGAAATTATACAGTGCCTTTCACAATGTCAGCACATCCCAAAACTTTTTACAGCGCTGATGTAATGTAAGAAAGGCAGCAGTCATTTCACGCACAACAAGCTCCCACAACCAGCAAATATGATAATAATCAGCCTGTTTCAGTGATGATGCTAGAGGGATAGGTATTCGTTGGGACACCAGAGATTGCTCCCTTGCTTGTTGTCAAAATTGAGGCAGCTTTTCCATCCACCAGAGAGGGCAGATGTGACCTCATTTCAAAATCCAATAATGCAGCACTACATTAGGAATGGCAGCCTAGATGTGTGTCAGCTGTGACTCAGTTAGTAACACGCTTGCCTCTGAGTCACAAGATTCCACTCCAGGATTTAAGAATAGAAATCAAGATTGACACTCCAATACTGTAGTGAAAGCATTCTGTCAGACGTCTTATGTTTCAGATGAGATGTTAAACCAATGCATTATCTGGCCACTTAGGTGTATGTACAAGATCTCATGCCATTATTTCAAAGAAGGGCAGAGGTGTTTTCCCTTGGTTTCCTGGCTAATATTTATCCAATCAACATCACAAAAAAAAACATAATGTGTGGTCATTACTCTCCTGCCCAGATTTTCCAGACTAAATAATTTCAGTGCATTTAAGAAAAAAAAACAACTAAATACTGCCAAGTTTACTGTTTCAGCCTTCCACTTCAAACAACTCAAAGGAAAAAGAAGAATATCATGACCCTTATTGTGGCTGACTACTACAAACAGCCAATGCCAAAATACCTTGGCATCACTCTTGACTGTACCTTGATTGACTGATAACATCTCAAAAACTCTGCAAAACAAAACCCCGAAAGAACTGCGGATGCTGGAAATCAGAAACAAAACGAGAAATTGCTGGAAAATCTCAGCAGGTCTGGCAGCAACTGTGGAAAAAAAATCAGAATTGACATTTTGAGTCTGAAGTCTGAATTTCTGAAGAAGGGTCTCTGGACCCGAAACGTTAACTCTGATTTCTCTCCACAGATGCTGCCAGACCTGCTGAGATTTTCCAGCAATTTCTGTTTCCAAAACTCTGGAACCTAGGTCGAGACAAGATTGAATCTCATAAGGAAACTGGTAGGTATCACCCGGCGTAACAGACTACGCAGTGCTTTACTTGCCCTGATCTATCCAAAGCACACTGCTGCTGCTCAACAGTGGCTGCACAAACACCTCCAGAAAGTCTAGGACAGTGGGACCACTATTGTTTTGAGTGACTGAATTCCTATGCTGATGCATATTGAACCTCCTGATGTCCATAAGGAAATGTCTTCTTTAAAGAATACCATTGATTGACAGCAATCAAAACTCACACGACACAAGGCCTCAGGGAAAAAAGCTGCATAATCCACTTCATCCCATCTGGTTCATTAATGTTCTTTAGGAGGGCAACTGCTATCGTATCTGGTCTGGTCAACATGTGCCTCCAGACCCACAGCAGGTGGTTGACTCTTAACCACCCTCTAGGCAATTAGGGATGGGCAATAAATGCTGGCCTAGCCAGCAATGCTCTCATCCCATGAATGAATAAAATAAGTCCTCTAATTACCATTGGAAGCTACTCCATACCCTACTAATTGGCAACAGCCCCACTCTTAACAGTGTTGGTTGCAAACATTCAGAACATAACCTGCTATCTGACCCAAGCAATGAAGTCCCGGATTTCAACTTTTCACTGAAAATCTTGAGAAATTTTAACTGCCTGAGGACAAGCCCTGAAAGCCCTGGAGCCATTTGCTCCAAAAGTGGAGCACAAGGAACAAATCAACTTCGGGTCACTGGACCCGAAACGTTAACTCTGTTTTTTCCTTCACAGATGCTACCATACCTGCTAAGCTTTTCCAGCAACTTTGTTTTTGTTCCTAATTCACAGCATCCGCAGTTCTTTCGGTTTTTAACTTAAATTCAAACTGTGGCTATCCAAGTCAAACCATCAACTAATTACTATGGGATAAATTCCTGGAGGCAACACAACCGTACACACTGCATCAGCTCTAGTCATTAAATGGGTTGCTATGTTCAACATTGAACTATCGATGCTTCCTCAGCATTACTAATTTTAAAAATCACATTGATGTTTGCTTTGCTGAGTGCAAATCAGCTGCTGCATTTTCTATACTGCAGCAATGACTGCGCTCAAAACTCCTACAGTGATGTGAGATATCTGGTAGGTGTGAAAAGCGTTATATAAATGCAAGTCAAGTCTTTCTTTCTCTACACAAGTCCCCAAACAGACCTCCAGCCCACGCACCTTCTGAGTCAGAATGCTACGTACTAAGCCACAGCTGACACTTGCAGCTTCTTTTTTAAAAAAAAATAGAAAGTAGTTAATTAACAGGGCGATTATAGCATCTCGTGCTCTACAGATGGTGCCCTGTGCTTCCCTCAGACAGACACACACCCAGATCCTTTCTTCTCAATGAATGACTCCGGACTGGAGAGTAGCATGTTGTGGTGAACATTATTTGGCAGGAAGTCAGCCCGCCTCCGTGGCTAGGGCGCATGCGCCACCCGTTCAGGCCGACGGGGAGCTCACTATCTGGCAGGGGGACAAGGACGAGGCGGCCAAGAGATGGAAGGGCAGCCAGCCGCCATGACTTCGGCGCTCGGCGGCGCGGGCTGTCCGAGCCCGGCGACTCCGCCGACCCTGGAGAAAATCACCTTGGAAAACTCCCCGGAGCCGGACTCCTACACGGTACCGGGGATTTTACACTTCATCCAGCACGAGTGGTCACGGTTTGAGATGGAAAAGGCGCGATGGGAAGCGGAAAAAGCCGAACTGCAAGTAAGTGAAGCTGCCGGGGGAAGGTGGGGGGGTGTCGGTAGGGGAAAAAAAAACGAAATTCCGAATTCCGTTTTCCTAGTTCCGGCTGGTTCTTTACGTTGAAGGCAGTCGATATCTGAGGAAACGCGAGTACGAAGAAGTGCTTCATGAGAGAAAGATAGGCTTTTCTTTAAAAAAATTACCTTCTATTGTTGCGGAGAGTCGGTGGTGCGCCGCCATCTTGGATTTAAAGATGGCGGATTGTGGTTATGTCATGAACAGAAAAAAAATCCTACACTCAAAAATGCAATTATTAACACTTTTTTAATAATCATTTGCAATGTGAACCATTCTTACATCGTACCTGCATCAAGACCGACATTGTTTTAAACATTTGATAGTCAAAGATAATGTATCTGGCTGTTTGGAGTTTCCTGTCCAAATGTCAAAGATTCCTCTTACAAATGCTATCTCCTAAGGATTTGTCTGTCTTTCGTCCTGTTCAACAGGACGTTGAATGATTTAAGACTTGTTAAGTGCAGTACTTGTTTTGTCACTCCTCGTAGATGTCAGGTTTGCCTTGGAGTCAGCAAACTGGATGATTTGAGTTGTAGTGTTTTTATGAGGACTTGGTTTTTGCATTGATCTGTATAAGTTGGAGCATTGCCAGAATCCCTGAAACTAAATTTAAGTGAGCTCACTCAGTGGGAAAGGTAGATCAAATTCCAATGCTTTCATTGTACAAAACAAAGGAAATCGATGTTTTTTTTTAACAGCTGACTTTGCATTTTGTATTTCTAAATTATTTCAGCTTCAAACTAATTTAATTTTTTATTGTTTCTCCAAGGATAATGCACCTTTATAATTTGTCACCTGGTTTGAGAACAGTAGTGTGGTCTTGAACATGCAAATAAAAGGTCAGACCAGGATGTGACCAAATGTAAGATCAGTGTTTGTATGAGTTCAGTTATCTCTTTTTTTATGGATTTCTTTCACAAATCTGACTTTGTATATGTACTTAATGTTTTCCTTTGTCTGTTCCCTGCTGCATTATAACTGTTGAAATATGATCTGCAGTCTGTCTTTAATCGTTCTCTACTCTCCACTGTGATGACTGTTCATATAAACCCATATAAACCCATAGAGCCATTTCTAAACTAGGGCACAGAATCCTAAATTTGGAGCAATGAATCACAATTTTTTTTTAATGTTTAGACTTACCTTAGTTATAAATCAAATTTATACAGAATGGTAGGAATTTATTTTAGATCAGTTCAATTAATAACTTTAAAAAAATGTTTATGACGCTATTGAGTGGAAGTTAAAATTAGGGTCACTGTGGAAAAATTAGCTGACCTGATGCAACAATATGTATGTGAGCGCGTTTCTCCTGAAAGACAAGCATTAAGTAAGGTTTTACTTACTAAATGGCCTTGAGTGTTTACTTAAGAAATAAGAACTGATTAGGCTTTTGGATTATCTATGTTTTTTTGCAAAATATTGGAGAAGAAAAGAGGGAATGGTAGATTTGACAGTATGACTCTGATCTTTATCCATGTTGCTGTGTAACTATTGAGCTGAAAGCCTATGGTATTATGGCAGAATAGCTTTTTTATGATTCTTTCCCCTTTTTGATCTCCCCTCGTCCCTTTTCATATTAAGGTCTTCAATATACTGCATGTGAAAACCATTGTATGTGGCTGTCCAGACTCTCTAACCAGCTTCGAATAAAGATCCACGTTCTCTTGAGAGAGGATCAGTGGGAAAAGAAGCCTGTTTTCTAAACTCCTAAGCATAGGACCAGTATTTCCCTGATGTGTTTGTTTTTATTATTGGCACATTGACATGGTTCAAGAGCTGCATTTATTGCCATTGCCTGGTTTCCCTCATGCTGGTTCCTGAATTGTAGGATTCATGCAGTAAATTTGTTCTTGCAATACAGTTAGGTAGGGAATTTCTGTACTTCGACCCAGTGATAATGCAGGATTGATTATTATTGGTGTGTAATTTGTAGGGGAACTTGAATGTAGTGACATTTTATCTATCAGCCAGCCTTGTCCTTGTAAGTGTTGGAAGTCCCCAGTGATGATGAGGTACTAATCAAATAGGTACTCTGTCCTCTGCAAAAGAGAATTCCATAGGATTTAAAATCCTGTAAGAGGGAAAATATCTCCTCATCTCTTTCTTAATTAGGAGAACCCCCTATTCTTAAACTGTCTAAGCTTCCTGAGAAGGGAAATGTCCTTTCAGCATCCATTCTGTCAAGTCCCCTCAGGATGTTGTACTTTTTAATGAGATCTCCTTTCGCTGTTCTAAACTCCAGTGGATGCAGGCCTAACCTTTCCTTATAAGGTAACACCCTGTTCTCCTGAGATAACAAGGTGTAGAGCTGGATGAACACAGCAGGCCAAG